TTCATTTATTCTATTCTATTTTCTATTCTATATTCTATTCATTTTCTATATTCTATTCTATTCTATTCGTTTTCTATATTCTGTTCTACTCCATTCTATTCATTTTCTATATTCTATTCTATTCTGTTCTATTAATTTGTTCTCTTCTCTTTTATTCATTTTTTCTATTCTATTATTTTCATCTATTCTATTCCTATTCTATTCTGTTCTTGTTCCTGTTCTTGTTCCTTTCTGTTCCGTTCCATTCCGTTCCATTCCATTCCATTCCATTCCATTCCATTCTATTCCATTCTATTCTATTCTATTCTATACTATTCTATTCTATTCCATTCCATTCCATTCCATTCTATTCATTTTCTATATTCCGTTCCATTCCATTCTTGATATGCAACCAACCGTTAAAGAATCACCTTAGCCAATCAGATCTCCCCCAGTTGACCAATAGGAGAGCTAAAGGCCCCAACGCCCCTCCCCCTGAAGTACTATAGCCCCCGAAGGTGCAAAACTCTTTATCGCTTGGACTCCACTTCAAAGAAGACAACCTTTTGTACACTCAGATGTGCAAGAGAGGTGGGGCTTCGATCGTGACAACGTACCCCCTCCTCTTGCCAATTTTGACACACGCACACACCCCTCCACAATGTCATTGTTGGAGAAGGAGGCAGCTAACCAAAGTTTCCACTGAGTTGGAAACCTTATAAGGAAGAAAGAGGGGGGGGGGAAACTTTTCTTTTTACAGAAAAAAAGAAAGAAAGAAAGAAATTTTTAGAGGCGGTGCAACGGCCGACAATTGAACACCTTTCATGCAAAAATCACGAAACCAAATAAGTTTCCCCGCTGAACAATTTGTTTTTTTCCCAGCACTTTAAATCTAACTTATTTATTAAATCCAAACGGGGGAAAAAAAACTGCAGAGGGAAATAAAGGAGAGAGAGGTTGAAAATACAGCCAAGCTACATAATCTGAGGATCAATTTTGGCTTGCCAGAGAGAATAGATGAAAGTAGGTCTGATTGCTTCCTGCAATTCAGATCTGAGAGAAATGCTGATAAATGTCTATTTTCTTTCCAAAGGAATGAAGCCGAATGGTGAGATTTCCAATTTCTCTTTTTTTTCCCCCCACTCCCCAAAAAAGGCTTTTTAACCTGCCTCTCAAAAAGACATGGAAAACAGGCAGCGAAGCTCCAGTTGCGAGGATCAATCTCCATAAACAGCAGTGTCAAAACTTCTACATAGGGAGCATCCCGGAAATGAACCCACAACCATTTAACTGAGTTGGAAGGGACCTTGTAGGTCATCTAGTCCAACCCCTTGCCCAGGAAGGAAACCCTACACCAGTGGTGGCGAATATTTTCGACACCGAGAGCCCAAACCGGAATGCGCGTTCATTCTGGAGCACCGGAAACCCGAAGACCAGCTGGCTTGGGTTTTTTTGGTCGTTTTTGGCCATTTTTCTGGCCATTTTCCGGCTGTTTTTCAACACATTTTCAGGACATTTTTGGGCCAAAAACATCCTGAAAACATTCCGAAAAACACATTGGTTTTTTGGCAATTTTCAAGACATTTTTCTGGCTGTTTTTTAGGCCATTTTTCGGGCTGTTTTCAGGCTGTTGCTTTTCTCTGTACTCCTTCTGCACGCATAATGCAATACGCACGCGACCCAGCGGGGTTGGACTAGATGACCTACAAGGTCCCTCCCAACTCTGATTATCTATTAGTTATCTGTTATCTGACCCACCCACCGCCTGAACATGCGCATGCATCTCCCCCACATGCATCACCACAAGTGCATGCACGGCAGATACCCAACAATCAGCTGGCTGGCTGGGGGCGCATGCGCATGTCCAGTGGATCAGTCCTGGATGATGGCTCACATGCTGGCAGAAATGGCTCTGCATGCCATTTCCGGCACGTGTGCCATAGGTTCGCCATCACGGTTCTAGAGTCTCAACATCCTTTTTATAGTGTGGTGACCAAAACTGGATGCATTACTCTAGGTGTGGCCATACTAAGGCTTTACAGAGTGGTATTAGTACCTCCCTTGATCTTGATTGTATCCCTCTGTTAATGCAACTCACACACACCCCTCTCTGTGGCAGCCCCTCAGATATTGGAAGGCTGCTGTCATGTCTCCCCTGGTCCTCCTCTTCACTAAACTAGCCAGGCCCAGTTCCTGCAACCGTTCATCCTATGTTTTAGCCTCCAGTCCCCTCATCCTCCTGGTTGCTCTTCTCTGCACTTTTTCTACAGTCTCAACCTCTTTTTTCATAGTGTGGTGACCAAAACTGGATGCAGTACTCTAGGCGTGGTCTTACTAAGGCTTTACAGAGTGGTATTAGTACCTCCCTTGATCTTGATTGTATTCTATTCTACAATTCCAGATGTGAAGGAATGGCAGTAATTCAACACGGTTGGGAGGATGCCAGGAACGCAGATAACCAAAGTCAATGCAAAATAAATTCATGTTTGTTCCCAGCAGCTGCTGTACGCAGGCTGCATTTCTTTTAAACTCTCTTCCTAGGTGTGGCTAATGAAGGGAATCAAGGCCCTTTCATCCCCCATAAGCCACTCAACCCATGTTGCTCCCTTCTCCGTTCCTTCCTGCGTGCCCTAGGGTGAAGAGGGGGTGGGCCTGGGTCTTCCTCTGAACTCCCTCTCCCTTGTTCTACCTCTCCCCTGCTCTGTTCAGCCGGTCTTTGCCCTTCCCCAGTTTCCTCCACAGCCAACGGAGCCACACTCCCACCCCCTGTCAGCTCTTTGTCTTCCTCTTTGGTTTCAGACTCCAACAGGGGCATGACAGCAACTTAGGATTGTTGTTAATGCAACTTAGGAAGTTGAACCTTCCACCGTGAACGTGGCGCCCTTTTCCGTGGTACTTACGCTGTCAAAATCGTTCTTTTCTTGCAAAGTCTTGGTGATGTGGTTGCAGGCATTCACACAGGATTGGATTTCCAGAGCGGCGTGGCGTAGGCTGTTGCAGAAGTCCTGGGGGCCTCCGTTCTCCAAGCCTTCTCCTTGAAATGGAAATGAAAGTAGTAGAGAAACATCAAAAGACCAAGAAGAAGGAGCAGCTCCGGAGAACTGGCCATTTCTGCCTGAACGTCTAATGCTCTTCCGTCAGCGCAGCCCTTGCGTTGACACAATCCTCGACTTACGACTGCAATGGCGGCTGGAATCTCCATCGCTAATGGTAGCAACAGGTGGAAACTAACCAAGGAGAGAAGCAACCTAGAACTAAGGAGGAATTTCCTGACAGGCAGGACAATTAACCAGTGGAAGGGCTCGAGAGTTTGTAGATGCTCCTCCATCACTGGAGGTTTTCAAGAAGAAATGAGACAGCCATTTGTCTGAAATGGTATAGGTATAGGGTCTCCTGCTTGAGCGGGGGGTGGGACTAGAAGACCTCCAAGGTCCCTTCCAACAATAGGTTCTATTCCATTCCATTCCATTCCATTCCATTCCATTCCATTCCATTCCATTCCATTC